ACAGTCGGTTGAGCGTCCGACTTCGGCTCAGGTCATGGTCTCGCAGTTCGTGGGTTCTAGCCCCACATGGGGCTCTGGGCTGACAGCTCAGAGCTTGGAGCCTGCTTTGGATTCTGTGTCTCCTTCTCTCTCTGCCCCTTCCCTGTTCTCTCACTCTCTCAAAAATAAACATTAAAAAAAAAACTATTGCAAAGGTTCTAATTTCTGACATGAGTGGACCGCCGGGCACTTGTGTACATTTGCGTTTGGATGAATTTATAACGATCTGTTTCTGGAAAACAGTGATCACATGTCAGCCTTCTCTGGATTCTTTTTGGTCGCAGGGTGTTTCATAGTCTGGAGCAGGTGCAGTTGTCCCTGGAAGAAACATCCTACTGGAAAGCCTTTGAGGGGTTTATCAGGAAGACCTGTGAACTGGTCCGTTACGTGAATGCGCCAGAAAGTGTCCAGAACGGTTTATCTGGTGAGTCCGTGGTTCTCCCTGCAGGCCCGTTGGAGCGCCCTTGAGCAATGTTGTTCCTAAGGGACACCCCTATTTAACAAAGGGGACCTAAACGCAGAGGCTGGCCAGGTACAATTTGCCATTGTGATGGCCACATTTGAGCCTCTGCCGTCCGTTATGGTGAGACCAGGGGTCCTGGTGTGATTGGTTATGCCAGAAGTTTCCGCTGGTGACTGGTTTTCCTCTCAGAACTGTCTCGGTTCAGCTGAGGAACGTGTGTGTGTGCAGACCAGGTGTGATGGTCCCCGAGGAGTGCAGATGTACCGCCCGTGGGGTCCTGTCACTCACCCTGCACACTGGGGAGAGCACCCCCCGTCCAGCCAGCTCCCCTCTTCCCGCACCGTCCTCAACACCAAAAATCCCCTCGAATATGGATTTTATGAATTTGTGGCTGCATCACCCCCAGGAAGTCATTCTCTTGTCCCTGAGAGTGACTGGGAAGACGCCACCAGGGTGGGGCTGGTGTTTCTGTGTCTGGCTGGTCCGCCTGGTCAGGAGCTGGTGGTCTGTGTCTGGCTCTCTTTGGGGACCGGCTTGCTCTGGTCGTCTGTGTGTTGTGCGCGCTCCAGCCTCCCCTCGGGACCCCTGCTGCTTCCACTTGGGGTGGGGAGGGGAGTATCCTGTTCCTTTCCTGTGGCCATGTC